GAACTAAATGAAATATTCCAGGTGGGGTCTCACGAGAGCAGAGTAGAGGGGCAGAATCACCTCCCTCGACCTGTTGGCCACACTTCTTTTGATGCGGCCCAGGACACGGTTGGCTTTCTGGGCTGCCAGCGCACATTGCCGGCTCCTGTTGAACTTCTCATCCACCAGCACCCACAAGTCCTTTTCCTCAGGCCTGCTCTCAATCCATTCTCCGCCCAGCCTGTACTTGTGCTTGGGATTGCCCCAACCCACGTGCAGGACCTTGCACTTGGCCTTGTTGAACTTCATGAGGTTCTCACAGGCCCACCTCTCCAGCCTGTCAAGGTCCCTCTGGACGGCATCCCTTCCCTCCAGCATGTCCACCACACCACACAACTTGGTGTCATCTGCAAACTTCTGAGGATGCACTCAATCCCACAATCCATGTCGCTGACAAAGATGTTAAATAGCACTGGCCCCAGTACTGACCCCTGAGGAACACCACTTGTCACTGGCCTCCACTTGGACATTGAACCGTTGACCACAACTCTTTGAGTGCGACCATCCAGCCAATTCCTTATCCACCAAGCGGTCCATCCATCAAAACCTTGTCTCTCCAGTTTAGAGACAAGGATGTTGTGTGGGACAGTATCAAATGCTTTGGATAAGTCCAGGTAGACAATGTCAGTTCCTCTTCCCTTATCCATCAATGATGAGTTCACCAAATTAGTCAGGCAGGATTTGCCCTTAGGGAAGCCATGTTGGCTGTCACCAATCACCTCCTTATTTTCCATGTGCCTTCGCATAGTCGCCAGGAGGATCCGCTCCATCATCTTGCTGGGCACAGAGGTGAGACTGACTGGCCTGTAGCTCCCTGGCTCTACTTTTTTTCCCTTTTTAAACATGGGGGCTGTGTTTCCTCTTTTCCAGTCAGTGGGAACTTCAGACTGCCATGACTTCTGAAATATGATGGATAGCAGCTTAGCAACTTCATCCGCCAGTTCCCTCAGGACCCACAGATGCCCCTCATCAGGTCTCAAGGACTTGTGCACCTTCAGGTTCCTTAGATGGTCTCGGACCTGATCTTCTCCTACAGTGGGTGGTTCATCCTCCCAGTCCCTGCCTTTGCCTTCTGTGACTTGGGCTGTGCGGCTGGAGCTCTTGCCAGTGAAGACTGAGGCAAAGAATGTACGTCCACTTAAGATGTTTTAACCAAATAAAACACTGTATTAACTAGATGCAGTAAATAAAGGCTATATCCCTACAGCAAAAATAAATGTTTCTATACCTAAACTTTTTTTTATCTACATGAAGGCAGAATTGCCTTCAACACATTACAGGAACAGATTTGAACACAGCTGCAGCTACGCCACATGACTGGAAGCACACACATCAAATCAGTTGGTGCCACCAAGGTCCCTTAGCCCACACCTGGGTTATGCGAGCATTTATTACTCCTGACAGTTTAGCATGGAAGGTCCTGAGCTTCACCAAAAACTACAGATCAATGACACACCCAGAGCCCCTATAGGCATCTAGTAACTCTACTAGATTATTTTTAGTATAGGACTGGGGCATGAAAGAACAAGAGCAAGTTGCCATAGTCCGAAGCAGCACTCAGAAGGTAGTTCTGTACATTTGCCAGGACAACAAAACTCAAAGCAAAATCTCTCAAGACAGAAGAAAGCCTCTTATTTTTGTAATAGTAAAAGCCAGTGACTGCAGTAGCACTAAACGTCACTGAAGTAGCAGTTCCTCTGCACACGATTGTCACTAACACGAGACAGTCATATCCAGGATATATACACTTGGTGTTTGTCGAATAAACTGTTTCATTCCAGCTCATATTGATGGCAAGAGACAAACGCGAACTCGCATCAGGCTGACCCTGCTGCATTATCTTAAAAGCTCACGCAAGTTCTCTTGGGATTGGCACAGTCATGTAGCTTCATAAAACAGCAGAGAAATCATTTATTTGAATCACGTGCCTTTTATTGCTGATCTAACACATATGAAAAGGAAATACAATAGAATTTTTTTATTTCTACTGTGCTTTTCTATGGAAATGAATCACAACAAGTTTAAGAAATTAATGTCATAAAATGAGGTCTGAAAGTCTTTTACTTTTCTTCAATGGAGACTGGAGGCTACTGTAGTATAAGAGTCCATACCCCAGTGATGAACCACTGCAAGGTTGGCACGTTCAAAAGCAGAACAGCATAGCCAATGTAAAAAGATTAAGTGTGTATCTCTACATCTAACAACAGCAAGAGAGCAACTGAGGCATGAATTTATTTTCTGCGGGATTCTTGGTTCCTTAGGAAAGCCATACTGGCTCATTAATTGCAATGCAAATCATTTCCTCAGGCTACAGAGTTTTTATAATTGGGCTAGTTTTGTAGGTGTAATCCAGGGCTAACATGCCTCCATGAACAACTTCTGTCAAGAGAGCAAATCCCTCGTCTTCCCTTGTGGAAGGCACACTTCTATCACATAGCCAAGCACTCTGAGGCAGCAGGTTTGATTACCTGCGGAAGTTTTGCTTTTCTTCCATTTTCACAGCTATATGGAATATGAGTATCAGGTACAACCTTGCAGATCCCTCAACCTTATTTGTGTTAATGAGCTAAGGTTAACTTTATGTGGTTAGTCTCACACTGAAGAAGCATTTTCCTATCTTTACTGAGAAAGAGAATATTACAAACCTAAGCAATTCCCTTCAGGTCAGGGTTATTCTTTCCCCAGGGAAACACAACAGCCTTATGCAGTAGGCTGTTACAAATTCAGTATAACTAATTCAAAAGGATTTTCTAGTAGCATTTGATTGGAACAGCAGCTGCAATAGCAAGCTGTAACTTCTAAACCACTGCTCACTCATTCATTTTGCCTCTTTCAAAATGAGTAAGATGCTATTTGGCAAGTGGGGCTGGGGAAAAAAAACACAAACCACCAACTGGAAAACACAGTTGCTCTGCTGTGCATCTTGGAAGTCATGGAGTCAGAAGAACTAACCCTGCAATTGAGGTCATTTTGCATCTTGCCATCATATTAAACAGGAAGACGACCAAGATTGAAATAGGTTGATATAAGTCAAGCCTAACAACAGTTTATAGGAGATCTATACATTACATACAATTTCAGGACTATGGAGATGTTAAAAATCTACCGCTAGTATAAAGCAAATAAAGTGGCAACTGTAAGATTACATCTGTAGTCATATTTTGAGGGTTTGTATTAGTTTTATAATAATTATTACTGGCAGTACCAACATGGCAAGCAAAAACACACTTTTTAAGATCAGGGCATATTTTTGTCAATGCTTCCGAGTAGAATAAGAGCAACTGCTTGTTCAAAGCCAGGTATAAAATGTCAATCCCCACCTGTAAGTTGATATCTAGCTCTTTAATTTAAAAGTCTGACAAAGTCCATGAAGTAGATGAATCAGGCACTTCAGGGACTTATTTCCCTTCAAGTGTCCTGGGAGAAAGATTGCTTGAACCAGAGTTCAAGATCATAGCCCACAGGCACATTCATACTGCAGGCACACAGAATCCTGCATCTGAGGCAAGAGTGATTATCCTCTGTGTTTAGAGAGGACACATACAACCTGCTCTAACTTCACACAGGGATGCAGGCAAGCATGCTGGCATTGCTTCCATTCTCTTAACTGAAAAAATCATGGCTCGCCATAACAGAAGTGTTCTTACCTCTAAATTGGAGAGATATGAGTTTGATGGATAAGGAACTGGCTGGATGGCCATGTTCAAAGAGTTACAGCCAGTGGCTAAAAGTACAAGTGGAACCCAGTACTGAGTAGTGTCCTTCAGGGGTCAGTCCTGAGGCCAATACCATCTAGTATCCTCACCAATGACAGGCAGTGGGATTGAGTGCACTCAGCAAGCTCGCAGACCACACCGAGCTGAATGATGCAGTTGATATGCTGGAGGGAAGGGATGCCATCCAGAGAGTCCTTGACAGGCTTGAGAAGTAGGCCCATGCAAACATCATGAAGTTCAACATGGCCAAATATGAGACTGCTGCAACCCAGGTGCAATATCTCAAATACCAATCAGTACAGGCTAGGGGATAAATAGATTGAGAGCAACCCTACTGAGTAGTAGGGGATACTACTGGATGGGAAATTGGACATGAGACCCCATCTGAAGTATTGCATCTAGCTCTGAAGCCCCCACCACAAGACAGACATGGACCTGTTAAATCAGGTTCAGAGTAGGACCACGAAACTGATCACGCTGCTGGAACATCTCTCCTATGATGAAAGGCTGAGAGAGTTGGGGTTGTTCAGCTGGGAGAACAGAAGGTTCTGAGGGCTTAAAAGAAATAATTTTTACCAAGGCCTGTAGTGACAGATCAAGGAGCAATGGCTTTAAAATGTAAGAGGGCAGGGTTTAGACTAAAAAAAGACAACATTTTTTCCTTGATGATGAGGGTGGTGAGACTGGAACAGGTTGCTCAGAGAAAAGTGGGATGCCCCATCACTGGAAGCATTCAAGGCCAGGCCAGATGGGGCTTTGAGCAACCTGATCTAGTGGAAGGTGTCCCTGCCCATGGTAGGGGGGTTTGAACTAGATGATCTTTAAGGTTCCTTCCAGTCCAAACCATTCTATGATTCTATATGTCCCATCATATCCCAAACTCCATTAAAGTCTAGAAAAAGCAGTCACTAAGAAAGAAAAAAGCTGTAAAACAGTTTGATATAATGCACAGTATAGCTGAAACATTACAGTCTAGTTGAGCTCTCCAGTTTTCATCAAAACAGTTACCTATACTCACTCCATACAAGAACTGCAATTAACCAAGAGCAGAAATGTCTTTTTTGCCTTAAACCCCCCCTGAATATAGTCTGACACTCACAGCAAAGACTTCAGTCCAAAACCCTCCCTTCTCCCAAGTGCAGGCTACCACATGCCTGTCTGCTACCAAGGAACCATTCTATAAAAAGCAGGCCTGGTTTTGTTTAAAACCCTACAGAGCAGATCTAGTATGTAACCTGCCACATATCAAATGAATTCAGAATAACCAGAACGATGGGTACCTATATTGAGAGCTGTTTCCTGTTTGTCCCCCGTCAGAATCCATATCTTAATTTCTGCCTTCATTAGTGTGGCTATTGTTTCTGGAACACCTGCTTGCAGGCGGTCTTCAATGGCTGTAGCTCCAAGAAGCAGTAAATCCTGGAAAAGAGAATTTGAGGGATTGATTTCTTAAGATAAATGTCTGTTTGGAACACACTCAAAAAGGAATTAAAGACAGCATGCTGCACTTCATTGCTAATACAGCATTTTGACAAGCAATATACGCTACAGTAAGTTTCTGGTGTGGCTGTTCTACTTCCTCTGCATACAACTCTCATTTCAAGAGGTACAGAATGGAACCGAGTGTTTCTGATCAGAAAGATGGCAATGTTTCAAGAGCAATTAATTGAAGTAATACAGTTCCAAAGCTACCCTATGGATGAACATATGTAGTAGAGCATTCTCTAATCACCATGGCAACACGAGCAGTCACAGTTTATGTATTTCTTAAGCTCAAAAAATCAAAAGTCACCTGGCATCACATCATTTAAACTAATTTCCCTTCCATAAAACGTACACACAGACTGGATACAATCACTCAAATCAAAAATTATTGCAACTATTTATGGATATAATTACTGCATGTATGTAATACAAGTGGCATGAACATTAATCAATCCAAACATCTCTAGCCTGTATGCATATGTCTGCCAGAAAAACATGTCTCATACAACAAATTTAATACTACATGAGTTAGCCACAGCGTTATGCAATTCTAAATCAATTGCTTGAAGAGATTTGGCCATGTTACAGAAAAAAGTAGTCAGGCAGACAAAAATACCTGAAAAATAAACCTTGTCAAAGGGCACAATATACTCAGCAGATTTTAACATTAAAAGCATTTTAATGATTCCTTAGACATGTAATGATGTTCGATTTAAAAGAAATTGATACGAACTGAGTTTAGTTATACTCTACCATTTCAGGAATTACACAGAAGTAACAGCTTCTATTCTTTGTAGGAACACTGGAAGTGTTCAAGGTCAGGCTACATGGAGCTTTGAGCAACCTCCTCTAGGGGAAGGTGTCCCTGCCCATGGCAGCAGGGCTGAAACTAGATGATCTTTACAGGTCTCTTCCAACCCAAACCATTCTATGAACAGGGCATTAGAGCAGCTCTTGTTTGTATGCATCTATGCATAAAGAACAGAAGGGGAAGTTGTTATACCTACAGTTGTGCAGGCTAGGCATTAGTTACAAGTCTTGACAAAGAAGTATTGTTATGAGACATTCGGCTGGTAAAGGTAGTAGAATCAACTCCTGTAAGTCATTTGCTCTAGTATCCTGTAGCCTCCTGACGAAACATTAGCCCTATCGATGCTAACACCACTCAAAGGTTACAAATACAATCCAGGTGTGCAACTGTAGATTGTCTTTTATTCCCAAAATAACTTGTTGAGCAGCTAAACACGACAGCATAAGGATCAGCATGGCTGAGCTACCTGAGCAGTGGAGTAACTATTGCTAGCCCTCTCAGCTGGTGTACAGGTAAGGAAGGAAGCCAGTTGAAGTTTGTCTCCACATGTGCACCTGTACTATGACGCAGTGACCTCACTCAGACTGACAAAGTAGCTCTCCCACTCTCAACTGAGCCCTTAGATGAAAAGTCAGCCTGTTAAAATACGTTATCTTTTATGTTACAGTCACAAGCTAGTTTATTATCTAGAAAGAAGTGCCCACAGACCAGAGAATTTAACCCGGGAAATACCAGCTCTAAGAAATAAAAATTATTTAGCTTTCAAGTGCAATTCCCTGCTCCTTGCTATGACCAGCAAGTAAACATTAACAGGAAAGGAATACAATGGATGTTTCCTGGCAATACAGCACTAAGTCCAAAACTCCAATTCTACAACCCACTTACAGGTTCCCTTTTTTCAACATATTAAAGTGTGAAAAGAGGCAGAAGGTAGATGGTCCGAAACGATCTAAGGTTTGAGAAGACATTTTAAAGAGAACCAACTCATGTTCATTTTCACCTCAGTGAAAACAGAGGAGTATGAGAGCACAGTGCAGGAAGCAGAAAGCTGAAAGGAACTACGCAAACCTATAGAATCAAAGATTAGATAGCCACGCTGCTACTGACTGACCAATACAAAAGACAACTTTAGGTGTTAGTTTGAAAAGCAAGACCCAATCTTCAGCTATTAAAGAGTTCTTGGAGTTTTTCCATGACCATATGAAAGCTAGCTCCCATCCTTGTCTCAATCTCCTTCCCTCTTCTGCCCTAACTTAAATTACCAGCAGTGCTCCAGAACTTCAGGTGTATTGTTCATATTAATTTAAAAAAATTTAAGTTCAAAGAGAGTTTTAAAGAAACCACTAAATAAAAAGAGAGTGAAATAACTGGAGTGAGGGGAAAGAGCACGAGCAAGTGTAGGTGAGAAGTGCGACCATCAGCATCTCAGAAAGCAGTACGACCAACAAGTATCAAAGAAACACTGGCCCCTGGTGTTGACATTTTAACATTTCACTCAGTGTGGGATTACGTTTCAAATCAGTTCTGATACCTACTTTCCCCTTCCAGAATTTTAAGTTCAGCAATTTGCATGGAGAGCAGTTTTTCACCTTTTTTCAGTCTATGTGACTACAGGCCTTGGTGAGCACTTTGTTTTGCCTACAGTGTCTATAACAGCCTTCAGAAAACCTGAACTGTGACTGCTGTATGAAGAGGAACAAATTCCTCTTCATATTCTAGTACATGGGAACTTGGTGCAACACAACTTGATATGTAAACTTTATCAACTTTACACAAGACAGCAAGATAAAAAGAATGTGAGAAGAGAGTTTAAAAGGTAGCAATGACCTTGAATACACAAATTTGTCTCAAATTTATGAACTTAGACTTGAGAAGCCTATAGACTGGACCGGTTGCCATCTAGGAATACCTTTTCAGTTTCTCATTAATGAGATTAACAATTTGTTTTACTATATAATGCCTAAATTCCACAGAAAAAGACACATGTAAGGGAATCCGTATCTGATCATCAAAAAAAGTATGCATCTTACCTTCTCAATGATCTCATAGCATTCTTCCAGCTTCTGAGTTCTGTCTTTCAGAACTGTACTGCTTTCATTGTAGACATTCAACCACTCTCTGTAAGAATTTTCCGACAGATCTGCATAAGCAATGCACAAAGTCCTCAGACCTACAAAACAGAAGAAAGCCATTACACACAGAAAAACTACAGAGTATCAGCAAATCATTAATGCCATAACGAATGCTAAATTCTAACCCTCTCACTGGAACAAATGGAGCTTTCCATGCAGTGTTAAACTCTGGATTCCAGAAAATCTCCCTGTACATTTTTAAAGCATTTGGGTTTCACAAACATAGAACAGAAGTCTGGCTCATTTAGGTCACTAATGCTAGTGCAAGTCAAGAGAGCACGTAACGGGCACAGACTTCTCCACGATTTTCAGTATTGCAATCTAGCCATACTGGAGCATCAAAAGTGTCATCTGTAATCTTTTTAGTTTAAGTACGAAAGCAAGCTTGGCTTTCAGGTATTTTTAAAAAGAACAATTTAAAGAACTGGTTACATAGTGTGACTGGAGATATTACTTAGCCAAACATACTACACATCAAAAAGTAGATAACAGGGCCCATGAAGTATGAAAACCATTTTCTTAGACCACTGACAAAAATTAACATACAGAATTAATGATTTTTTTTTTCTGGTGTGAGTCAAGCAGAAAGGAGTGTGTGCTATAAAATACAAAGTTTCATTACTGGGAATGTGGGAGTCTGCAAAAAAGTTTTCAAAAAAGCTAAATAACGTTTTCAGATTTAGAACAAAACTACTGGTTCATGGTTTTATTATAATGCAAATATCTTATGCTACTGCAGTAGAGGGAACAAAGTCAAGTAATTGCCTGTGAAGGGTGGTGTTCCATCAGTCACAAAGGCCGTAGAGACCATTTCAGATCATCTTTTATATCTTGATCTTCCAGGATTCCAGCACATTCAGGTTATTACTCACTTCATAAAGCCAGGGCCTTTGTCATCTGACTTTTACACCGGTAAAAACACCTCTAACTCCAATGTAACTGAGGTATTCTGGGCAATACAACTCATGCCCTTTCCCTTAATCATAGGCACACAGAATTCCATCTTCTCCTTCCAAATTCCACAGAAGCAGAGCACAAACTTCCTTAGGCTTAAAGTCATTCTACAGTTGTTAATTTGCCAATTACACACTACTTATCTTCAAAACCATCTTATTTGGCACTGCAAAGGTTAGATCATGCAGAACATGCTGCAAGTAATTGAATCCTCATGACATGCTGTTTCTCTTACCTTCTGTTGCGAAGTATTCAAGATGGCACAGCGTTTGCTCCATATACTGGGAATCTTTTGAAAGCCTCTCAAAAATTACATTATCCTATTAAAACCAAATTCATTACAACAGAGTAAGTTTAACTACATATGAAGTTTCCATTTGTGTATTTACAAGCTGAAGTGAAGTAACCTGAGTGGACTTGCTAATACCAGAACCCACATCTACATTTACAAGAGTACACTGGGTTTTAGACACTCTGGTTTGAGTGAGTAACCTGATTGTGCCCAGTGGCAAAGATACTGCATCCACTTTAAATAATAGGGACAGAAGCGCACACTGCCCTCCTCCTCTCTTTCCATAAAGCGAAGTCTGTACTGGGCAGTACAGAACACTCCTTTCTGAAATACTAAGCAGATATATTGGTTTTCAGAGAATAAGTGTCTAGTCTTATTCAGTACACGTTGTGGCCCCCTTCTTGCAATCCTTTCTAGAAAAGATTCCTGTTGATGTTGAAAAATAGAAAGCAGGAACACTGAACAGGTTCTACCACAAAATCCTCTCAGAAATAACCTTCCTCCTGCAGCAACTTTCATCATCACTGAATCAATGGGCAATTGAAAAGGCCCAGATAACAACTGCAATCAGAATACATCACCATCACCTACATATCCACAGTATCAAGATTTTATTCTGCAACTACCAGAAGAAGTTGCTACACACATGTAAAATATGGAAACTCTACTTGTGCTCAGACATGTACTCTTAAGCTAAGTAAACAAGCCTACATCTATCATCGATTAAAGAAAGGCACACAAAACAAGTAATTTATGATGGAAGTGACAGGATGGGAGATGACTATCAGAATGTGGAAGAGTTCATGTAGAATAGGCAGTTAACTTACAGTTTAGATGAGTGGTGGATTCAGCAGAACATATAAGACAAAACACCAGATTACACTAATTACTACAACCCTTTTGCTTCGTTAGCTAGCTGAGACTGCTCATATGGAAGACAGCATGAAATTTTTGACTGCAAACTCTCCTGTTCTCCATCACTTCCAGTGCCACACTCCAAGAAACAGTGTGAACTCAGGCATGGTATGAGCAACAAGCAGTTGCAGATCTGTGTGGTCCTACTAGGCCTACAACTTTGAAATATCACATGACAGTGAGCTTAATTCACTCCCACCACACCAGCATGAAGCTCGCACATCTTTATCAAATCAGGGGAGTTAAACTGAAGCAACAGAGCAGTGCACTCAGACCTGTATGTCAGAAAAAATTCAAGTAAACCAGATTCTAAAAGAAGCCAGAAATAGTTTTCCCTGTTGCAAAAAAAGCCACCTCCATAGTTTTCCATTGAAATTAGAATCACTTTCTTGGCTGAGGCCAATGCTAATTTTGCAGCCTTTGCACTTTGGTTAAGTTATTGCTCTTGTCAGTGAAGACAGAAGAACATGGTACAAGTCATGATAACAAATAACAGCATATGCAGGGATGCAAGACAGCCAACCACTTCAGAATATATTTTTGTATTACAGATTCAAGTAATAGCATTTAGTGTAACTCCTGAATTGCTGCTGCACAGCTGGGTGAAATCCTGTCTTTTTTTTAAACTTTACTTAAGTGAAGGGTACTGCTCCCACTAGTTTCAGGATTTCAACTAGATATTAGAAGGCCTAGCAACCTTCTTGCCTGCAAAAAGAGTCAGAGGAAGAATGACAGATCTCTTAAATCACTTGGCCCTAAACACAAAGGCAACAGGTATTATGTATGAGACATGAAACGCCACCAGTCATAGCTGTTGAAACAGTAACTGGTAGTGTTAGTTCTCCATCAGGTAGCATACTTACAGCCCCTTTGCAGTAGAGACGTAGCTGTCCTGCTGGAGTTCGAACGATCACTGACATTCTCTTCCTGTTGCTATTGAAAGAAAAATACTTGTTTTCATTAGTCATAGTGATGAAATTAAGTTCTGTTCCACTCAGTGAATTTTCTCAGATTTGTTTAGCGCATCTGAGATCAGGTGAGATATAACAGTAGTAACTTAAGACCCTAAAATCCTTGACAGCAGAGGGAAATACTAAACTGCTTGTTCCTTCAGCCCTATGGCTCCCATTGGCAAGCACTCAACCAGAACACAGACTTGCATCCAAAAGTGAGGAAGAATTTGGATAAGAGCAAAATGGCACAGAAGCCCTCTTGGAAGAAGGGGAGTCACGTTTATTCGCAGCTTTTCCTTATTCCTCAAGCAAAATTGTTTTGGGGACTCGGGCTAAGAATGGAACCATTAAGGCTGAATACATATTTATTTTAGGTATAACAGACATTGAAATAATAATCCACTGACAAGGGCAGTTATTTAACTTCCCAACTCAAAAGAACACAGAAGTGTCATAGAAAGGCTCTTGAAAACAGAAAAGAAAAATGCTACAGAAAAGCTCTTGGCCTCCCTTTAAAGGTTATTTATATTGATCTAATCAGACCTATACAGTTGGGATTATGTAGAACGAAGTTGGACCCTCAGAGCAGACCTGCATATCAAGACAGTCAAGTTTGGGATATATTTTAAAAATAAATGTAAACAATAGCATACTGTACACAGATGCTTAACAATGGAAGGTAGGCAAGGATTTTTTTTCTTATTTTCTGAAAGATCAATTTTGGCATTTCACTTATCAATCTCTCCTTCAATAGAGCCACTGGACAAAAAAAACCACACAGCTTGGAAAAGCCAGAGGCAAGCACATCAACTCCCACCAAGAGAACCCTAAGAACACATGGTTTCATATTCAAAAGAAGTTATCTGTAATTATAATTCTTTTCCTTCGCAAAAAGAGAACTCAGCAGCATCCTCCTTCCTCATTCTCTTCTTGCCAATATGTACAAATGGATCAGAGTGTAGAGCAATCTTCCTCCTCCTCTGAAGCTGCTCTGGGAGTTCTAGCCCCTTTTCAGGGCTCAAGAGCCATGTGTAAGTAGGCAAACTGTTGGTATGTATGATCAGACAAAACAGTCTTTTCTGAGACTTCCTAAAGAAAGTCTGGAAGGACAGCAAATAGCTGTGCCCAGAATTTCTGCAACAAGCTAATGACACTAGGAAACATCCACGTGCTTTTCAAAACCTAATTACAGGAACTCTGTCACTGGTCAAGTAGGAAGTTGCTACACACAGAAGAGCTAAGACAGCTTTTTTATGCTGCATGCAGGCCACAGCTACTCCTGTCTACAGACACCAGGGTATCGGTCAACTTGTCAGAAGCCTTAAAAGATTCTTCTAGTACCTTCTCAGATACTCCCACAAGTAGCCTAAGTACCTACATTCTGAAAGAAAAGGGGAAGTAGTCTACAGTAATCTTCAAAGCAAGCCAGCACACAAGAAAAGCTGCCTACTCAAATCTTCCCTGACTTTAGTTTTACACATTCCTTTAGAGCAGAACCAGTTAGCTCAGAGTCCAGAAAACAAAACTTCAAGGCTTTAAGCCACAGTAAGAGCAGAAAAAACAGCAGGAAAGCCTGCTGACTAGCACCATCCAAATGGACAAAACTTTACCAATTGACAGAGAGAAAGCACCTTTTATCATCTCCAGTGGTTTAGGGACCCAATTCATCACACACAGCTTCTTCCTACCCAAGCAGTGCCCATCCTAACTAGCCTGACAACCCAGGAGTGCTTGCAAGGTTTAGTTTTTCATAGCTAAAGTGGTTCTTAAAAAGGGGCACCAAAAAGCACTCCAGTTGTAGATTCCACCTACTCAAAAACAAGTAATTTACAAAAGCACTATGAAGTGCAATCTCCATCTCAAAGCATGTTCTTGAAGCAGCCAAGTGACACATCAGGAAATCAGTAAGGCATAGAAAGACACTTTCAAGGCAGCAACTTCACAGCAAGCCTGAAGTGGCAGTGGAAAGCTTCATGCTCTCATGCCAACAGCCATCAGTTTGTAAGCAGCTCTGTATTAGTCCTATATTCAAAACAAGGACATGGAGGGCAAGAAAACAATTAAGTTCATTCAGCTTTTCTACCGCAGCAGCTGAATCCTTTTATTCTCAATAATATGTTTACAAAAACAGCTTTCTCATTTACCCTGCAGTTAGTATACTAGAAGAAAACTTACCTGGAAAATTCCAGCACGTTAAGAATTTCAAAGGTTTTTTCCTTCCCCAGCTACAAAAAAAAAAAGCATAATTAAGTATAATAAGTATATTCCTTACATGTGTTAACGTGCAAGTTGGTCAAACACCTTCGTTTATGCATCCCAGTGCAAATAAAATGTGGTAATAGCTCCCTCTCCTGGCAGAAGTGATGTAGAGCCCTACTTAATTAAAGCATTCTAATCTTACTTGAACGTCTAATACTGCGACGTCCTCCATTTACTAATTTCACACAATTTCAAGGAACTATTATCTTACTCCAGAAGAATAAGCATGCTTTGAAATGTGTATTTACTTCTTAACAGCTATCAAGTAAGAGACATTACAGACTGTGTGCATTATTCCAAGTTAAAATAAACATGCCATCCAATATTTGGTATCATAATAACCTTTGCCTGAACTGCCTTAGTATTTCTTTTACTTCAATTTGCAAGCAAATTAGATATTTTTTGTGGCAAACAACGGTTAGCTGAGGAGTAATTCCTGTTTCCATCAACAACTATTTGTTGAGGTTGAGCATGAGCAATCTGAGGAAGAAAAAGGATTTAGAAACGCCTTGTCTTTGTCATTCCTGTTGTGTAACAGATGGTAAAAGCAGTCGGGGTTACTGGAGTTTCAGAACTCCAGTGCTTTTTGCAGCATGTGGTTAAAGAAATGGCTGTAGCAAAATCTAACTGCAGTACGGATTTACGTCCTACAAGGCACATACCAATTCGGCAATACTCCCAAGACCAAAAGCCATCTCCAAGCCATGTAACACATACTGCAGCTGATGTAGGCAATGAGGAGAGACAGGAACCTCTGGGAGTGACAGCTTTTATTGCTAGCTATAGACTGACCATGCTCCCAGCTTGGTATGTATAAGGAGTATAACACCAGGTCAGGTGAGCCTGGGTCTTCCTGGAGAAGAGCCTAGATAGCTCTAGACGATTCTGTTCATCCCAAGTTCTTCCCCTTAAACTAAGCAGCAGTTTTCTGAGTAGCTGTAGAAAGTTTGTGACAAGTCCTAGAAAGATACATGTTTTAAGGGCTTAGCTTGGCAGTTTACCCAGAAACTTGAAAGTGAATGTACCTGAGAGGAAGGACAAAAAATATATTTACTACTCTTGGTAAGCACCCTACTAGTTGCACCTGTGTAAATCTGTAGCCACTTTAGCTTAGACTGCAACTTAAGTCAGAATGTGGCCCCATGAGTTTGAGACTGCCTGAGTCAACTCTAATTCATTAAATATGCATCCTTGCGTACAGAAGATTATTAAGTAGATATATCTTCTGTGGAAGATCTTACTCAGAAGAAAAATTCCGTTTTAATACAAGAAATCAAATATTTAGAAGCACAGTAATCATTAAATACAGTAGTCAGAAAATCTCCCAGACATGATTTTCCTTCTAATGTAAGTGTTCTCATCTGTGCTTCCCAGACAAGGGAAATATTCTTCAGGCACAACTACCGTCAATTCCTATACAAGCCTGCACCTTCCTATTGCCCATGCCACACAGAAGGGCAGAGGACTTTGCATCTAAAAATAGATTAAGACAGCTTTTCTCAGTCTGCAAAAGCCTTCTGCATGCAGCATCCTAAAGGCCCTGTAAAGGGGAACTCACAAGGAACACACAGGTGACACTCATGCTCTGCATGAGCTTGGCAGTCTGTGCCACGCACTCTACTTACCGCATCAATGATAACCGAATGTGGAGTCCGTCCTGTGAAGACATAACCAAGTTTTTTTGCTCCTTTCACTAATGCCCCTTCATCTGCAAACACAAGAAAAGCTTAAATTTCATCTTGTACGTAGAAGAGGCCTGCAAAGCCCACACTTAAATATGCCACGCTACCAAAACACAAAAGATCCCCTTTCCCATGTACTCCCACATCTGTAAGGCTGCTGGAGTAGCTCTGCACACACTTCCACAAGAATGTATTTTAGTCCTACAAAGGCCAGGTAATATCAACTACACAAGCTTCATACTCAATCTGTATAAAATATCCTGTTACTACTGAAGCATTAAACTCTATTGTTGTGGAGTCACACTTTCTACACGAAAAATGAGAAATATCTCTTTTGAAAGCAAAATCAAAGCTGTGTTATTCTTAATTCCTACAACATGCATTTAATCCATTTCCTGCTGTAAAAGCACAAAGTTCAGATGCTACCGAAATAAGTAAAGCGTTGTCTTCTGGAGACTGAACTGGGCAGTGTAATTAAAAGCTCAAATAACCGAGCTGAAACCAGAGCAGATACCTCTACCTCTGTTACGTTAAAGAGCAAGTGGTATTAAGCACAACCACCATACAAGCGAATTTAGTGCCCAACTCAAGCAACCCTAACGTCCCTACAGTTCCCTTGGTCTCCTCATGGTTGGTCAACATCGTGTCTACAGCTGCCCCACATGGGCTGTTCACCCAACTCCTCAGACACTTTAAGGCCAATAGAAATGCTCCTGCCTTATCACTCAATACATCACTATAACAATTCTAGAAACATTCATAGAAATTGAGATAAATTTGATGAGGAGCAAGGCTCTACTGTTCTGTATTTTGGCCCTGCCTACCTATTTCAGTACCACTGTGCTGCCTGAGAGAAGGAAGAAATGGATGAAGAGCAGGCCCAAATACGGCCAAGACTCTGCTCTTGTATCACGTCATGGATCAGCATCTTGTATTGGCATAAAGAACATGGGAAGCTACTAGATCAAGACAAACAGTTTGCACTCATGCCAAACAGAGCAAGTAACTGTTCATGTAGAAACAAATCAGTATTTCCCTAAGTCAGCTTTACGTAGGGAAGACACGTCACTGAAAGTTTTACTTTTGCTTTTCACTCCTGCAGAAAGAGGCCAGACTAGAAGGTCTCATGAGACCTGAAGGTACCATAATCCTAGCCTAGCTCTACAGAAACATCATGAACTTTGCAGTTTTGTAACAAGTATTCAAAAGCCGCGTGCACTGGTGACAGAAAATGCCAGATCTACTGCTAGCATCATGGAGGACATCTTGCTTTTAAAATCAATGACCTTTTCAGAAATTTCTGGACTTTCCTTTCATCCCCATCCATCCACTTCTACTCCCTCACTCCTTCCCTCCCCAAAAAGACATCAACAACCAACCTGGAGAGGAAGCCTGGTAGATTATTGTATTTCCTTGTCTCTCAGGAACAACAGTATGACACACGGCCAGCAGAGTGAGGAACTCTTGTATGTGCACAGCTGTGGGCTAGACAAGACATCAGGAAAGTCAGGTTTAGTATTACATACAGAATGAGAGGCAGCTGTTCACTAGACTGAGAAGACCTCTTGTGTCCCACAGACAACAAAAAATACTCTCTTCTCTATTTATAGCAGTTGTCTTGGTCCCAGTAAATCAATACAGCTGAGTTAAGGGCCAGCATTAATGAATTAGAGTGCTAATGATAAAGACCTCACTTAAGTTGCAGAGAGCTGGGAAGCCAGAATATTCCCCCACTCCCAAATATAAAAGCATCAGTTTTGTAGGACCCCAAGCTTCATGTAGGCAGAGACATTTGTCACAAGACACTGATGATAATCAAGCAACAGGAAATACTACTTCAGTAGCATCCACAACAGCTTTCAATAGATTGACAGTAACCACACCAGAACTAAAACTCACTGCAACTGCACCTTGAGTGATGAACATCCAGACCTGACAGCAGCTGATTAGCCAGTAGAAGGCAACATCATGTGCTCTTCCACAGGAATACGCCACCCAGCCAAGCAGGTATTTGATCAATGGTCCCTACACATTCAGCATCATGAGAACACACAGTATAAAACATTGTTCACAGACTGCAGTCACCAGCCATCCCAAAGTGCTTCAAGAGGTGCCAGGTCTACAACTCAGTGAAAATGCTACGGCATTTAAATCACAGGCCTCTGATGAGCAAATTCTGCCAACTGTAACCATAGTGACTTCAAATTGAGTCCCCCACCCCACTCTTCCCACTGGCACAGCATTTCCAGTCTCACAGCAGTCAGGAATGGCACTCAGCTGCCCAGCTCACAACCTACCACACTAACTTCATCCACAGTTCACACAGATCTTTAGGACACTTGGCTGAAACAGCTGAAGTGAACACATGTTCCCCTTCACCAGCTCTGCTATATCTGTAACATTCACAGTTGGTAGCACCAAAATCTTACGTCACAGCAGTCGTTTGCTCAGTGACTGAGTCAGACGCGAACTTAACAGTTCTACCTTTGCAGAAAGCCTTAGCTGACCTTGGCGAATTCTAGCAGAATTTTTGCATACAAAAATATCTAGTTTGCAGATTTGTCATTAGCACAGCATATTTTGTATATACTTTCACTTAACAGAGCCACTACAAAATCAAGAGCATTACAAGAGCTGTTAGCACAAGGTCTGGCCAAAACCTCACTAGTGCAATATTAAAAATCAAGATTAGATGGATAAGAATCCTACAAGAATCTAGTAAAACAGGATCTTTTTTTTTTTTAAAAACAGTTAATTAAAATATGCTTCTACACTATTTATTCTGCTACTGTATACCAGAACATTTCATAACAGAAAAAAACGCTACAATGTTCAAATGAAACTTTTTCAAGTGAGCGCTACACGCCACCAAAAATCCTCTGATTTAAGAGACTTAGATGTATTTTTATACAAATATATGCAGTACCACTATCTGAAATGCACCACACAGTTATTTTATAAAACCCGTTAATCACATACTAATGAGACATTAGACTCCTCCATTCCCTCACTTTAGAGGGCCACTTAAAATGCAACTTCTCACAATTAGGTTAGCAGCATTCAAAATTGGTGCTCAAGATACATCATAGCTTGGCTTGGGAGAGAAGCATTAAAGTTTTACTCTATTGCAGGCCCTATTTCAGGGACAAGACCAAGAATGGGGAAAGATTGTTGAGGTTTTGTTTGTTTGTTTGTTTTTTCCAATATGGTGCACATAGTCTACATAGCTGTACAGAAAGATGCACTAACAATAGCAAGGTTTAATTAGTAGGAAGTAAATTACTATGAAAGCCACAAACAGTGTCAGCTGGCAAATGGTGTGTTAACATGTAAACAAAAAGTAAACATATCAAAAAAGCGTAGCAAAAAGACTACATATCCAATACTTATATTCTTGTTTTATTTCATGTACTTTGTCATGAATATTTCCAAAATAACTGTTTCACACAGGACCTTTATCTTTGCATAGTGAAACTTTCAAATTGTATGGTCACACGCCACTAAAATACCAACAATTGTAGCTTTTGACATGCTGAAGGTGCAGAGGCTGTGTTCTAGAAAATGAACAGAGGGAATATACTCAGAGAACAGGGTGTGAACTGTTAACTCCAAGCAAATTACTGGTCAGGAGGTTACTGCTGCTCCATTATTTCCAGTGAAAGCAATGAAAGTTGTATCTCCATCTCAAAATGCACAGCCTGCCAGATTCTCACTTCAGCATCCATTGCTACAGACCTTTGATGTCCTTCTTAGACATATATCACCCAGCCCCTTGCATGCTTTTACAGTGTGTGTTCAATCAGCTGGAAACAACTTGTCTCCGATAATGTCATGGATTTTAATCCTTCCTACTTGTATACTTCTGCTTTCAAGCCAGCAATGTAATTTGTTGCTGTCTTGGTATTTTCACAGCTCACAATGGATTACATGGCAATCTTCCAATTCCATAGCAAGAGATCACCAGACAGAGACCCATCTTATGGTGTCAGCTCTTCCACACAGCTGTCATTTGTTTCTTTTCCATTTTGTTCCAGCACTGATAAAACATTTATTACACTGGCATGAATCAGGATAGAGAATTCAAACTCCTACTTCAGAGCTGTGAACAGAAAATTCATTAATGGCTTCTGTAGCAATACATCCCTTACACCATGTCAAGCTTAACCCCAACATAAGACAGAAGTCCCACAGGTTAACTGATTCTGCTTTATTACTTATTTTCCTCCATTAAAGCAAGTCTCTGCCATTGTAGTACTCAAATTCTTACTAATGGTGAGACATTCCTTGCCTGCTCATTTGTTATGCTCAGCTCTATTTCTTCCCACTCCATTTTCTCCTCCTCTATTTGTCTGTAGCAGGAACAAAGTTTGCATGTTTTAGTCTCTTGTTCATCAGTCCACAGGTAGATCTCATTCTAAGTGCATTCTCCTCCCATTTTTCCTTCCTGTGTGCCATCAGCTCTGGGTGAAAGCTATTCTTTCTCTCTATCTTTTCCAAAGATCCATGGAACACCAGGTGTACAACCACCTACAACAACGGTACACCCCACTGGCAAAACTTACCTTGCACACTGCCCCTACAAGCTGAGAACCAGAGACACATTGAGACATAGTCTTGTATTTCTGGAAGCAGTCTCTGGATTCTTATCTACAAAACATTACCTACACTGAATGTAAAAAGTTTCCTGATCTAGAAGGCACAGCATCATTCATTATCAAGCAGGGCATAGACCACTGGTCAGGAAGATATATCAGAAGCTTTCATTCTTTTGCATAACATTCTCCTTTATTCAAGGGAGACAAAACAGAGTTGGAATTCCTTCTTTTGGAGAACAAGCTGCAGAACTACGTATCTGCACATCTGTCGTATGTCCTTATCTGAGACCTCAGTCTGAAGACAAACTGTATTATTCTAGTCAACTGTTCACAGCCTGATAAAATTACAAGGAAGTTGCATGTGAAGTTAAAGATATTTATTCATCTTTCCTTTCACTTGTTGTAGTATCAGATCAGTGCCTCTATAATATCTCCGGATGAACAGGACTGACAGATTTTTGAGCAAGCAGCCTAGAAATGGCCAATGGGATATTAAGGCACAGTCTAACAACTTGAGCTTACTACTCTGCATAAATGTGGCACGTTCTGTCAAGGACAGCTAGTGAAATACTTACCTACTGCATTAACAGGGAGAATTATAACTCACCATCTTAAAAAGATGGAAACTTCCTACTGTTTTTTTTTCATTAAAACATCTGGAAAACACTGAGGATCCAGTCATGTTGGGCACCTCCAGAACACTGAAGCTGGTAAGGCTGCAGAGAATCGGCAAATAAACTGAAATGCAACCAATAATTGAAGATACTGCCTTGTACTTGAGCAAAAGTACTGAAGTCCCATGCACAATAAGGGCAAAAGCAGAAGTGTGAAAAAATATTTCTCACCAAGCAATATAATAATTTGTCAGCTGTAAACCAATGTTTTTGATACTTTTCAGCCAACAGTTACTTTCTGAACTGAAGCCTTCCAGAGGTTCTCACCACCTGAATGTATATTCCATCTACTGTATTTTAAATTTCAGTTTTTCATTCCGGTAGTGATACACTTTTCCTGTTCTGCTTTTCTAAGGAACTAAGAATCAGCTGACAATAGCCGTCATTTCAACAAAGCCTCATGAGAGAAAAGCCTAAGTCCCCACACACTTCATCAAAGCAAGCAGACACACTGAAGATCTAAATGAACACTTCCACTGAGGTAAAGGCTCAACATGCACACAACAGTTATCTACTCTGCCTGGCCAGCTGCTCAACTACTCACCGCATATAATCACTTAATTTCATGCATCTGCAGGTATACAACATGCTTGCTGCTTCTTGCCCAAGCAGTAATTTGCAGGCCACAGAAGAGAGTTTATATGCAAATTGGAATTAGTAGAGGAAGTTTGTTATCTCCCTGGATTCTGTCCAAAGTAGTCTAGGGTGAGATCTAAGTTTATTAGTTCTTTCACTTCTTGACCTCTTTCCAAATCATGTCATCAGGGTAAGAAATAACCCCACACCAAACAGGCTTGGGTCTCCATGATAAGTTTATTCACAGCACAGCACCAAATAAAGACTGCCTAGCATATTCACCAAACTTTCTTTAAGTTTTTGGAATAATGGATCTTTTCTTATTCTAACAAGAGTTTACACCATTT